CAGGGCCTCAGCAGGTACTGGTCCTGTGTGCTGGGCCTGTTGGGGGGCTTTGGGAGCTCATGGACCTCTGTGGGGGCATCACAAGGCCCTGTGACTCCTTTGGAATCTTGTGTGCCCTGGGGTTTGTTCTTGGCCTCCCTGTTGAAGTCTCGATCCGTGTGGGATTGTGAAATTGTTCTCGAGCTCTGGATAGATGTGGTACTAGAGTTGTGATGGAGAAGGCTGGGAAAAGGAAAAGAACCCCAGTGAAAGCCACAGGGAAGACTGGGACTTCCCTATGGCTGTGTGTGTACATGTTGGGGGTCCAGAGACAGCAAGAGCCAAGTCTGATGTCTTGGAAACCTGTACAGATCTCCACAGCTGTGGAATGTTGAGGGGCTGGGCAGTCTATTTGGGACCATGAAGAAGGGCAGGGCCTTGACAGTTCTTGTGTGACAATGGGTATCTGGCAGCAGAAAAGTGAAATTACCCTTCAATTCGTCACCCCTGCACCAAAATTCTTACATAATTGCATACTAGAAAAAATGTATTGAGACTGACCAGAATAGGTTTGTGGAGAGGCTGGAGAATCTCTGTTCCTTGAGATGGTCAGAACCTGACCAGGCATGTTCCTGGCATGTAGCTGCCTCTGCTTTGGCTGGGGCTAGGGGCAGGATGTGGGAACTGCCAGCAGTGTCAATCCAGCAATGCCTTCCAGCCTCACCTGTTCTGTGACGTACATGTGGGATGTTTGGGTGGTTTGCTTCTCCTGAAAAATAGCAAGGCATGTAAAGCAGAAGAATTTACCCTCAGGTGACAGTCCCATGTGTTCTGTAGTGAGGCAACTCAGGGTCAGGACTGAGGTTTTTGACCTTTTTTACCTGTAGGGCATGTGTGGGTGCAGAGTCCTTGCTGTGAGTCTGGGGTAATCTCATGAGATCCCTTCCAAGCTGTTTTCTCTTTGCTGAATTGTTGTCTTTGCTGTCCTCTGTGCCCCCAGGACACCATGGCTGCCCAGCTGTCCATTTCCCTGCTGCGCCACACGGATCTGCTCCCTGCAGACAAGGCTTTCTATGAGGCTGGGATGGCTGCCAAGGTAAGAGCTACCTCTGCACCAGAGAAGGACACAGGACACCCTGGGCTTGGGGATTCTCAGCTTTATCTTCCCAAATCCTGGACTCTGACTGGAGGCTGCTCCTCAAGCAGCTGGCCAGACCTCAGCCAGTGAGCAGATGGGACCTACAGACCCAGGGGTGGACAGAGCCCATGTTATGGCTCTGTCAGTGTGGATGTGAGGCTGCTCAGCTCTGCTCTGCATCACCCAAGTGTCTGACAGTCTGTCTATGACACATGGCAAGGACAGCAGCATGTCCTCACTGCCTGGACCTGGCTGTGCAATGATAGAGTCACTGAATGGTTTAGGTGGGAAGGGACCTTAAAGCTCATCTTGTTCCATCCCCTGCCATGGGCAAGAGCACCTTCCACGATCCCAGGCTGCTCCAAGCCCCATCCAGCCTGGTCATGATGCCTGTCTCCATTCTGTGGGACAGCCTGTGGTGATGAGCTGCTTGGAGACTGTGGCACAAAGAGAGCCACATCCTTCCTAGCCATGGCTCTGGGAGAAATGGCTGTGAGGATGAGCTGCCCAGTCTCACTCAGGGTTCCTCTCCATATCAGGCAGTCAGCTGGGAGAACATGGCATTTGTCTTCCTGAACCACTTCCTGGACCTCTCAGATGTGAGTATGGTCTGTGGGGGAGGGAGGGCTGGCTCTCTCAAATGGCAGTGGCACTGCCAATGCTGCCACAGGGCCACTACAGACCCCCAGGCTGGCCAGGGCTCACCTGAGGCTCCTGCAGGGCAGCACACTGGGGCTCAGACTGATGGGAGAGCCCCCAGACCCCACCCAGTGTGTGCCTGGAGCAGGGGGCACCCTCACACTCCTGTGGGAGGACCTGCCATGCAGGGCACTGCACAGCCCTGCCCAAGTCACCCTGGGCACGCCAGTGCCACTGTGCACAGGGCAGCAAAGAGCACATTGGCCTGACAATTTAGGTCTGAAATCCTCATGGCTGCAGATGCCATTACAGTTTTCAGAGTGATCACTCAAGTTGTTCTAAGGGAAGAAAAACTACTTGGGAGGTGGAGGCCATGGCCCAGTGCTTTGGCCACTGTGATACAGGACTCTGGAGTCCCCTCAGTCCCTTGCTTGTCCAGCAGGCTGCCCACCAGAAACCAAATCCAAGGGAGCTGACACGCCTCACTGTGCCAGACTCTCAAGTGCTGTCAGCAGCAGCTGGGGAAAAACAAAAGTACCCAATTACATCTTTCCCTTCTTCAAGACCACCTGAACAGGGAACAGTCTGAGAAGCACTTGAGAGTGTGGTCACGGATGACAGGAGGGCCTGGTCACCACAGCACCAACAGGCAGGGGCATCCTGGCCATGAATTATACTGTGAGCTCTACAGCTGGCATTGCCCAGTGCTCTATCCCTTCTTTCCAGGCCATTGAAGAAGGAAACCTGGATTCCCTGGACCATTCTGATTTTCAGAAGACAGACATTCCCTTTGAAGTGCCCCTTCCAGCCCATCAGCACGTGCCTGTGAGTGTCACCTGTCTTCTCAGCTCCTGGGAGCAGTGGTGCTGCTTCACAGCCCCCTGAACAGGGTTTGGGGTGGGGCTGGGCTTGCAGAGGCTGCAGGGGATGGAAACAGACCCAGAACTGGCACCTTCTCCTGTCCCTGCACTGCGAGCACACAAACACGTGCACAGACGTGCACACAGCTGCATGCACAAACGTGTGCACAGATGTGTTGCACACACACACATGTACCTGTACACACGCACACACCTGCGTGCACACACACAAAAACACACACACCTGTGAGCACACACACAAAAACGCACACACCTGTGAGCACACACACAAAAACACACATACCTGTGTGCACACACACAAAAACACACAGACCTGTGAGCACACACACAAAAACACACACACCTGTGTACACACACTCACAGGTGCATATAATACCTATTCACAGATGCATATAATACCTATGCACACACACATACTCGTACACACACAAATACCCACACACACCTGTTTACACACACACCAAAAAACACACAGCTGTTTACACACACACACGTACCTATGTACACCCACACACCTGTACATGCACAAACACGCACCCCCACACACTCCCTCCCCCTCGTGCTCCCCAGCACACACACACACAGTCAAGCCCCGCCGTGCACCACGCACGTGTGTGCTGTGTGCACACCATGCACTCCTGTCCTGCTCTCCCACGTGCTCCCTGCCGCTGTGGGGCTGCACTGGGGCAGCAGCTGCATCCCGGTTGCAGCCTCACAGCAGCCTTTGCCCCCAGGAGGAGCAGCGGGAGGAGGTGAGGGACTGGGTGCTGACGGTGTCCATGGACCAGCGGCTGGAGCAGGCGCTGCCGCAGGACGAGCGCGGCGCCTACGAAGCCTCGCTGGTGGCAGCGGGGACCGGGGTGCCCTCCCTGCCCTGCCTGCTCACAGGTAAGCTCCAGGCCAGACAAGAGATGGCACAGTGCCGTGCAGGGAGTGGGAACGTGCTGCAGGGTGGGTCTGGCAGGAGGTCTGTGCTGTGATCTAAGAGCAGTGGAGGGCCTGTGTGGCTGTGGGGAACCAGCTCTGCTGGAGGAGGTAGGGCATTTTTACTGTGGGGGTGAGTGAGCACTGCAACAGGCTGCACAGAAGTTGTGAGATCACCATCCTTAAAGACAGTCAAAAGCTGTCTGGACACAGCTCTGGGCTGGGGTGGCCCTGCCTGAGCAGGGAGTTGAACCATACAGACCCCAGAGCAATTCTGAGCTCAGCCACTCTGTGGTTCAGGGATGGCTCAGGCTGGCACAGCTCTGCCTGGGGACTCCAGGCTGGCCAGCACAGACAGTTGAGAATGGGCAGCACATGGCCCTGCTCTGTAGTGTAGGACTTAAAAAGGGTCAGAGAAGGGGGAGCAGAAGTGTGCCACCAGGAACAGGGCTGTGGCTCCGAGAGTCAGAAGCTGGGTGCCATTGTTGGACCTGTTCACTTGGATGTCATTGCCCAAGGGCAGTTCAGCCTTAATCTTCATTTGGTCCCTCCACTTTGAACATCCCTTCTTCATTTTTGTCTCCTAGAGACCAAGGCAGCACTATTCCCCCAACACACTGTGCTGTTGGGGCAGCTACAGCACAGGGAAGGGGTGCACCAGGTGGAGGCCTGCTGTGGGGCTCAGCTTGTTCTGAATGTGTCACTTTGTGCCCAGGGTACCCAGTGCTAGGAAACAAGATTGAGTTGAGGCCAGGCCGAGAAGTGAAGAAGGATGCATGGTACAAATTCGTGATGGCTGTCAAGGTGAGCCAGAACCCCCAGGCAGGGAGACAGGCTGTGGGTGGGTTCAGCCCCTCGTGCTGACAATGCAGCATCCTTTTGGGTATGTCATTGTCCTGGGGCAGTTCTCTGCACTGTCAGTGCTGCTTGGTGGGGATCACCAGTCCTGCTAGCCCATGGGGTGCCTTCAGGCAGGGGGCACAGGGGTGCCTCCTTCCAGTGCCAAGGCCTCTCTTTCTGCAGACATCCCACAGCCCTGCAGGCCAGGATGTGATCGAGTTCCTCCGACGGTGGTGTGGGGGGCTCCCAAGCACCAGCTTCTCATTCCAGTGAGCAGGACTGGGGCAGCTTTCAGGCCTGTTCCTCAGCACCTTCCACATCCAATAAACATGTTATCTCAGCCCTGCATTGCTCCTGTTTGCCAGGGGATGCTGGGCCCAGAACACTGCAGCTGGTGGGCCCAGGGCTGCAGCCCCTGCATCTCAATTCCCACGTCCGTGGATGACTTCCACACTGAGGCCACGGCTCTGCCAACATCCCTGTACTTGGGGAGTGGCAGGCACAGGGATGGGCTCGCAGAGTAGCTGCACTTTCCTTCCCTTGGCATGCCTTGCTCCCAACCAGAACTCACCTGGCAGAGCCACTTAGAACAGCCAGTGTAGAAAGGAAAAGTTTATTTATTCAAGAAAACTAGAGATCTACACCAAAGGGGTTCTTCCCCTTCTGTTCCCTGACATGTCTGAGCACAGGCACAGCCAGCTGCAATGCCTGCAATGGCACCAGGACTTGGGCCCCAGCACCTCTGCCCACCCCCATCACTGCTGACAGAAACCAACAGCCTTCAGCACACCAGGAAGGGTCCAGCAGCTTGGGGCGAGGATGGGAGAGCATCCGTGGCCCACAGCACCTGCTGAGCTGCAGGGTCCGTGCCAGGTGGGGTGGTGGAGCTGGGGCAGGGGGCAAGGCACACCCCTCACCGCTGCAGCCCGCTGCAGGAGGTGTGACATCACCTTGGCCCCCGCCTTGCTGGATCACAGCGCTCCTGCAGCACCACCTGGGAGCAAAGGAGCAGTGTCAGTGCCAGGCTGTGCTGAAGGGCCCAGCATCACTGACTCCTCTGCCCATGCTCCTGGGAAGAGGTGTTTTGGGGAGCTGATGTGGACCCTCTTGATGGCAGAGCCTGCTCCCCCCATCCCAAGCACAGCCCACATGGGGCACTCACCTCTCCAGCTACACAGGAGACTCAGCAAGTCCTGCCAGGAGCTGCTGCCTCTATCACTGACTCCTCTGCCCATGCTCCTAGGAAGAGGTGTTTTGGGGAGCTGGTGTGGGCATGGACCCTCTTGATGGCAGAGCCTGCTCCCCCCATCCCAAGCACAGCCCACATGGGGCACTCACCTCTCCAGCTACACAGGAGACTCAGCAAGTCCTGCCAGGAGCTGCTGCCTCTCACGGAGTGGCTTCTCCATTGCTGTACTTGGCCTGGCCAGCTAGAGAGGAAAAAAAAAGACAAAAAGAAGTGTAAGGTGGAAAGCATACATGGTGGGCAATGTTCACACAAAAAAAAGAACAGGTCTGGCTCCCAGGGGGATGAAGAAGAGGGTCCCTCTGCAACTCCCCATCAGGGGGTGCTGGTCTGGCACTTAGGCTGGCTAGAAGAGGTTCCAATTCAGCATCCCCCCTACTGCTGCACAGCCTCCTTGTTCTCAGCAGAACCCAACACCTCACAAGTGCAGCACAAAGGTAGCAATCATGGGGGAGATCCAGGGAGATCTGTACCTGCTCTTTGCTGTAGCTTTGTGCACAGGGCCCGATGCCCTGGAAGACCAGAGCCACCAAACAGCACCTGCCCGACAGCACGGCTTCCACAGCTGCCAGCAGCAGGGAGGAGAACCAGAGGGCCAGCGCCGTGTCCTGCGGAGCAGGGGGTCACAGGAACGTGGGCCCTGCACCAGGCTGGCTGAACAAACTCAGCAGAAACTGTGTAGACAGCAGGGGAAAGAAGGGGGAGAGGGAGAGAAAAGGGAAGCAGGAGGGAGAATGAGAGTGAAAAGAAAAGAAGCAGAGAGGGAAAGAAGCTGCTGGGAGGAGCGGGGCTGTGCAGTGACTCACGTAGATGCGCGTGGTGTTGAAGGGACAGTCGTTAGTCGCAATGGCTGCGCGGGCGTCCACAGGCAGCGCGGAGCTGTCGCAGCCCCGGACCAGGTGCGTGCCCCGGCTGTGCACCGTGAGGGCAAAGGCCAGCGCCAGCCCCACGCTGCACGCGGTGGACAGCAGGCAGTTCACCAGAGAGACGCCCAGCAGGGTCCAGTGCTGCAGGCGGCAAGAACACGAGTGGGACTGGCAGGAGCTCGGGGAAACGCTGGGGCAGGGCACCTGTGTCTCTGCAGAGCTGCCCCTCCGAGGAGCACACACGACCTCTCGCCTCTTCCAGGACGGCTCAGACACGCCCTCGAATGAGGCTCTCGCACCTTTCGCGTCCTTCCACCCCCTGTGAGCTCGCCCCGCTGGACGCCCCTTGCCTCGGGCTCCGTGGAGAGCCCCCAGCCCAGGCCGGCGCACCCGCCCCGTGGCCGCCCACCCTGCGAGCCCACGCGGGACCCCCGACCCGGCTGCAGCTTCGCCCACCGAAGCGCTTCTGCCCGAGGACGGCGCTCCCACCCTCCCGGAGCGGCCGGCGGGGCCGAGCCGGGAACAGGCGACACCCGCAGCGCCGGCAGCCGCCGCCGAGGCGAAAGGAGCCCGCGGGGCCAAGGTCCAGGGGAGCGGCTGCCGGCGGGGCAGGGCCGCGCCGAGGCCCCCCGCCCGCAGCCCCGCACTCACCAGGACCGCCCGGGACAGGTTGTGCGACACCAGGATGGCGACGATGCCCGCGGCGATGCTCTGCGGGGAGAGCCGCGCTCAGCAGGGCCCGCGCGGGGCAGGGCCCGCCGCCCCCCGCCCGCTCCGGCCGCGCTCACCAGCAGCCCCGAGCACACCGACACCACGTTGGCCGCCGCGTACTCGGGGGTGACGGCGCGGCGGGCGCCGGCCACGTGCCGCAGCACGGAGCCGTGCACGATGGCGCCCAGCACGAGGCTGCCGTGGCCCAGCACGATCAGCCCCAGCCCCGAGCGCATCAGCCGCTGCGGCTCCGCCAGCGCTCCCGGCGCCCGCCGCCCCCCGGCCATGGCCGCCGCCGCCGAGCGCCGCTCGCACCGCCCCGGGGCAGGGACCGGCGGCTCGGCCCGGCCCCCCCACCCCGCCCCGCCCCGCAAGAGGCGGCACTCGCGTCTTTACAAAACAGTTTATTAAAAATAGGAAATGATAGAAATGAGATGCAGGAGCCGCGGCTCGGCCCCGCCGCGCGCCAGGACGACACTGCGCCCCGGGGCCGCTTCAGGCCCGGGAGTCCCCGGTAAGGGCCGGGCGCTGCAGGGGCCGCGGGGCCCTTACCGGGGCCAGCACACGCCGTGACCCCGGGCGGGTGCGAACCAGTAAACAAAGTGCAGCCGGCGGCGGGAGCGAAGCGCCGGGCGGGGAGCGGGGACGAGCTCGGCCACCCCTGGGCTCATGGCGAGGGAATGGGGGGGGAGTGACCGGGGGTGCAGGGCTTAGGGGCTCACCCCTGCTTACCTTTAAATTAAAAAAAGGAAGGAAAAAAAAAAAAAAAAAGGAAAGAAAAAACCCATTTCTGTGCTGTGCAAAAGACACTTTGTACAATTCAAACAGAACAAACTCCATGCACATGAGTGGGGCTGCAGAACGCCCCAAGCCAGGCCTCAGCTCCGCAGCACAGCCTGGCAAATCCCAACAAAAACAGGGCTGGAAATAATACTGATGCTCAAAGTCCCTTTAGGAGGCGGGCAGGGAGGACTGTCGATGAGCCCAGCCACGGCACATGCAGGATGAGCTTCCAAGCACTGCAGCTGGGGTCTTGCGGATGCCCGACAGCGGTGGGCAGACACAGACGGGTCGCAGGCAGCGAGGCCACGCTGGCTGCCCAGGAGCCACGGGGCTAAGATGACACAGTCACGGCCGTCAGGGCTCCGTTCCGAGTGTAGTAGAACTTGCTAAATGCCTCTTCAAGTAAACAGGTGAGTCTGCTCTGGTCAGCCTGGGGAGAACAAGGACAGTGAGCCCCAACCCCTCAAAGCTGAGAGCATGGCTGGAGATCCCCAGGGCAGGGCCCTGACTTACGCCTCCTGCCTCCTCCCCCCAAAAAGGTCATAAAACATTGAACTCTGAGGAAGGAACACAGGCCCATAGCCCTGCCTGAGCCCCTGCTTACCTCGCTGATGAATCCAAGCTGGACCAGTTCAGCTGCCAGCTCCTGGATGTTGTCATCTGCAACACAAGGAAAGGTGTCAGTCCTTGGTCCAAGCATGCTGCTGGCCCAATGCACCTGGCAGGGGCAGAAGGGGACTTACTGGGCTGAAGGTCACAGCTCAAGTGTCGATTCAACTTGTCTTCCAGTTTCAGCAGCAGTGTCAGCTGCAGGGCAAAGAAATTCTCATGAGGGATTGCAGTCCTGCAAGCTGCCATGGCAAGCCCAAAGCAACCCTAGAAATGCCCCCTGGGATGGGAACCACCCCTCCAGAGCCCCACGGGCATCTAACAGAACAGCCACAGCCAGTTCCACCCTGAACTGCAGCTGGCAGCACCATCCTGCGCTGGGAGCCAGGGCCGGAGGTGGGCCAGGTGCCAGGTCAGCAGCAGGCACAGGCCTGGGACAGGCTCTGGGTGCTGTGGTGCCAGCTGCAGCAGGGCAGGGTTACCCCAGGCACCAGCAGCACATCAGAGCCATGAGCCCTGCATGGCTGCCCCGGCCTCGCCCTGCTCAGCCAGACTAGAAACCTACGTGGTGCTTCACGCCCTCCTCCACGGACTCGATGTTGCACTGCATCAGCACCACCTGGAACAGAGGCACAGACCCATCAGCAGCTGCCCCACAGACCCACCAGCACCTGCCCCACAGACCCACCAGCACCTGCCCCACAGACCCATCAGCAGCTGCCCCACAGACCCCATCAGCAGCTGCCCCACAGACCCATCAGCACCTGCCCCACAGACCCATCAGCACCTGCCCCACAGACCCATCAGCACCTGCCCCACAGACCCCATCAGCACCTGCCCCACAGACCCCATCAGCACCTGCCCCACAGACCCCATCAGCAGCTGCCCCACAGACCCATCAGCACCTGCCCCACAGCCCTGCCTGGCAGTGGGAGAGTGAGGCTGAGCCCCTCGCCTTTACCTTGCGGGTCTCCACCTCAGCAGGCTCTGGAGTTGGGGTTTTCACCGACGGGGGAGCAATGGGAGATTTCACCACGACCTGCTGGGGCTGCTGGGGTCGTGGCATCCCAAAGGCTGTCAGGGGATAGATCCCATTCCTACAAGGAAGGAGCAGCATCTGAGGTTATACCTCTCCAGAATTTTTCCAGTCTCACACACAATGGAAGGCGTCTTAAAAAATCCCTCTTACCTCACATCCTCCAGGAACTTGTCCAGCTCCAGAGCTGGAGATTGTGAGAAGCTGGAAAACAAAATGTCCTGAGATGAGAAATCGTCTCTCAGTACCATCCACTTGGGTCTCTTGGGGTGCAGTTTCAAATCCCCATGTCCTGGGCTGTGTCCACAGGCAGGATGGGTATGGACAGGCAGCCACTGGTGTGACAAGCTCTTATCCTCCCTGAAGGACATAACTATCTATGTGAGCTAAGAATGAAGCAGCAGTTATGGCAGAGCCAGTCTCACAGCCTCAGAACTGTGCAATGCAGTTATTTGGAGGGTGGCCCAGTGACACTGCTCCTGGTGAGCTGTTTCACAAATACCTGCCATAACAGGTCCCTGGTTGCAACAAGCACTTGGAACAGCCAAACCCCTGTCTCAAGGCTGCTCTGAAGCATTCCAGAGAGGAGGTAAGGACTGCAAAACTGCTGGAAGCCTGACAGGATGTCCTCAAGTGCTTTATGGGCTGCACACCTGCCTCAGCTCCCAGACCACTCTCCAGCCCCTGCCACACCCCCGGCAGCTGGGATCGTCCCATCCTCTAACACAGCAGTAGGTTTCAACAAACATTTACTTATTTTTTCTAGCAGCTTGGTTTGCATGGCTGTCTGATGAACCATTCAGAAAGGATGCTGACATTTCAAGTGATTGCTGCTTTCTTTTCCCTTTTCCAGCTCCTCTGAGGTATGACAGTACCAAAAAGCAAGTTCCAGGCTGGCACCCATGGACAGCCATGCCTGCAGAGACTGACATCCCATGTGTCTAAGGATCTCTCTTTACAGCTTTGGTTGTTAACTAGCTGTTCTCCATTTTGAAACTATATCAAAAACATTCCAAAGGGAATTTCATACTACATTTCCTAGCACTATGACAACTGGAACATCAGCTTTTGGAAGGGTCTCTATGGCTCAGAGGGCTGCTTTTATGGATGGAGCTGTTCTTCCTTGTCATCTTGGTTACTCTTGCTCAGCAGCCTGAGCATCCCAGAACTCTGGGCTCCCCTGGAAGCACCTTAGGTTTCTCTGGGAATACAGTATTCACATCTTAGTCTTCACCTAGTCCCCTAACTAGCCAAGGCTTTGTTATCCAAAATGCACATCACTTTTTTGGCACTCTGCTTGCTCCATATGTATGTATCACAGGCACTCCCTTAGGGGCCACCCTAGTGCAAGTAGTGCTGTGTGTCACTGACAGCTGCCTCAACTGCCTTTCCCTGTGCATAGTGTGGAATAAGATGCTCCATTAGGAAAACACTGAGGAACCCTTCCTCTGAAGTGAGAAAGTTACTCCATCTGGGTAGTCTGTGATTGGTCAGAGCACCTTCCCAAACTGTTCAGCCATGTTTTGCTGGGGACTGCTCCAACCACAGCATGTTCATTTAATCTGTCCATTTGGGGAACAATTTGTCTCAGCTGCACAGAATCTACTCCCAGGAAACAGGTGCAAGATCTCCTTCCACCCAGGAATAACTCCCCAGAAGTGTGTGTGCCCAGACAGTGACTGCTCCTTCACCTCCAGCTCCACCAGCTCCCACTGGCACCCAGTGAGTGGGGAAACACCCACACTGAGGTGATGGGCAGCCCCAGTGCTCACACCAGTGCCCCAGCACTGCTCCCCTGAGCAGCCCCCCTGAGCACACCACGGGGACTCACATCATCTTGACTCCTTCCCTGTCCTCGTGATTGATCTCTGCCAACACTGCGTTCATGTCGAGGTTTTTGGTCATTTCTTCTAAAGCATTTTCAGGAATCATATCTATTAAAAAAAAAAAAAAAAGAGGAGTAACTTGTAGCAATTGCAGTTCTTCTCCAGCCTTAGAAAAGCAATGAAAAGCACAGATATGCTCTCAGAGGAGGTCAGGCACCACAGCCCTCCCAGCCCCACAGCTGCATCCAACAGCCAGGAACCTGCAGGGCAGCAGGGCATGGGAAGGGTGTTCCCAGGGTGCCAGCTCACTGAGGGGGCACTGACAGCTCAGCACAGCTCTGCAGAGCACTGACCCACGTGGGGACGTGGCTCCCAGGGCTCTGTACTCACGCTGGTGCCCAACGATGCAGTGAGCAGCCAACAGCTTCAGCGATGGCACCTCAAACAGCGCCTGGTGGAACAGGAGCTCCCGGGCCGTGGGGCGCCTGCCAGGGTCCTGCTCCAGACACTTCTGAATGAACTCCTGGAGAAAAAACCTGCATGAGACAACAAGCAGCAGCAGCAGAGCAATTCAGGGCACCGAGCCCCGTGGCTCACCCGCTGCAGGGGGTCCTCCAGCAGCTGGATGGCACTGTTGATGGCTTCCTGCGGCACGTAGGAGGACTCCCCGTTCCCCTGGATCTCCAGCACTGCCATCTGCAAACACAGAGCAGAGCATCAGACTCCACTGGGAGTGACAGACTGCATGGGAGACAGGCTCAAGGAGACCACTGCCAAGCATGAGATCACCACAGCCAAGCTCTTTGGGGGTACTTAAGGTCACATTTGGAGAGACGGAGAATGGCTGCCTCATTACAACAGCTTGCTCCTAGTACCCAGGACTGCCAGGGAGCCCTGGGAACTCTGCCAGCAACAACCTGGACAGTAAGTGTCTCCATTTTGAACCTCATGATCCATTGGCCTGTCACTCTGTTTGATAATTCCATAATGAAGCAGTGACTGGGTCACTGCCAGGGTCTGACAGTGTCCCTTC